TCCCCTCTCAGCCTTCTCTTCTCCAGGCTGAACAGGCCCACCTCCCTCAGCCTCTCCTCATAGGGCAGATGTTCCAGGCCCCTGATCATCCTGGTAGCCCTGCGCTGGACTCTCTCCAGCAGCTCCACATCCCTCTTGTACAGTTCAAAGTGAATCTAAGCAATTCTGGTTTATAGTTGCTTGTCGAAATGTCTTCTGGAGGCCCTTTGCCACATAGGAATGTGCTTATATACTTTTGATGAGCTGGGCCCTGTTCCTGTGTGGAAAATCCTATGAGATAAAATCAATCTCCATGCCCATTTGGCACTGTTTTTTCCTCACAGGAGTGCCATTTTACACTGTTGCACATAAAATCCCAGTTTTAGACAAGGACTCAAAAAAAAAAACAAACGAGTAAACAAAAGAACAACCTGTGAGCTACAGGTACTGAGGGACAAAACCAAACAGACCGACCAAGCTGGAGGGTGATGTTTCATGCGGTGGCAGACGAAGATGTAACCTCGTGCTGAGCTAACAGGCTTTCTCTAGGAAGCTGCTGAAGTCCAGCGCACCAGCTAGTTCATTGCACATGTTCAGCAGACTTACAGCTGAGGCATTCAATCCCAGCTAAATTACAGAACTCCATGTCCACATGTGAACTGTGTCTTTCCTGCCACCTTCAGATCTCTCACACAAGCTTTCCAACTTCCTCTCTGCTGACTCTGCTGTTGGAGCTCTCGCTAGCATGGCCTGGGCTCTGGGTCATCTTTCACAATCTGCTGCATCAGATTCAAGCTATTTCTTGAGCACTCCCTCTACCCCAGGTACTTCTGAGCTGTTGTCTTCCAGGGCGTGTGCCTGGGACCAACTTCCCTTGTCCTCTGAATCATCGAGATTCATTTGACACTCAGTTTGTGCCTTCCAAAAGGGGCAGCTCACCCCGAGACCGTGCCATCAGGAGCCACCCTTCTACAAAACAGCTCTCGTGCCCGCGCTTCTTGCATTTCCCAGCCACTCCCCTCCAGAGGAGATTCCAGGACAGGAACACGTTATGTATTCCTAAGACTGTGCAGGACTTTGGGAAATAGGAAACCTACCCTCTTCATTCAGAGACAAAAGACAAGAGTTATGTTGCATGGAACGATCCTTTAGGAAGTCCTCTCTACTTATTTATGAGGAAAAAGAAATAGAATATTGTCTTGTCAAAAAGAATGCTCCTGCCAGACCCATTTTAATGCTCAGTACCTCACAAAGATACAGATTTGGATGAAGTAATCTAACTACTCAAGTATCCAGCTTGATTTTCTTTGATTATCAGTTTAGATAGAGAGGTAAAGACACAGCTATCAGAAAGCAAAAGTTGCTGAGGACACAGACTGCCCATAATATAAGCAGATAACCAGAAGCCTCCTACTAAGAGGTACTAGAGAGCATATTAGTGAGGGACCATTTGGTGTTCTTACAGGCAGAGCAATCTTGATGCCTCGTAGCTTGTCCCAGCTGCTGTCAAGATATAATCAGCTCCTGCTCTTCCTTGTGAAGCTGTTGCTCATCCACGCTTCTCCTCCGCTTTATTTCCTCCCAGCGCTTTCCGAATGCTTTTTGTGCATTAATTTCACTGAACACAAGCCCCGGGCAGGTCAGCCTTCCCTGAACACAGAGCAGAGAGACTCCTCTCTCCTACGTGGAGGGATGACCCTTGGAAGCAAATGAATGAATATTTACAAGTAAATTCATGAATATTTACAAGTAAATAACTCATTTTCCATGGGCTTTTTTTTTCCTTTACTTTTTCTGTGAACATTTTTGTTGTCAATTTTATTTGCTAGAATGTTCATTCTAGCAAAAGCGTAAAGAGAAAACCACAGGAGAAAACCAAGGCAGTTCAAATAAATAATTTTTAAAAAGCAAGTGAATATTTCCTTTTTTTTTTTTTCGGCATTCAACCAGCTCTAGTTTTTTATTTAAAAATGGTATTTCTGTAAGCTTTCACATTACTTTTTTTCAGTAATGAACTTTTACATTAATGAACTGCTTCTATTTTCCCTTGAGGTAAGGTTTAAGGAAAGGATACGATTTTACTTCACCTGGGATCAGTCCACAACCTAAATCTCATCTGGATATTCCAGCTGATGGCTTTGTGAATTTAAATCACAGATTGAAGTAGCAAACTTTCTGTATTACCAAAAAAAATTAAATTAAAAGTCAAATTAGACCAAAACTTTGGTTGAACCTCAGTAACCGCTTTTCAAGCGCCCTACCCCAGATGAGTTGTGCTGCTGTATGTAATTTCCAGCTACTCAGTAATGACGATTCTGGATCTTTTAATAGTGGAGATCATAATAAAATAATTCTGATGTTAAAATTATGTGTCTAAAATCATATCAAAGATGAGTTGAAGTAGAAAGCAGACAGAGAAGTTTACAGAAGGTGGAAATAGCCACTTGTATGTGAATAAAATTGTAACTCCTGATAAGGAGAGACCAGAAGACACGTAAGACTAGAAGCTTATATTAGCAATGTCAAACTCTCATGTCTAGAGAACACATTTTATTTATAAGGGATGAGACTATAAAAGGAGTCATCTAGAAAAACAACAATGAAAAAAATCCCTTATTGTTTCATCAAAGGGAAGCCTTCAGGACCAATGACTGGAGCTGGCAGGAACCTGCTCCAGGGAGAGCTGAGTCACTGCTGCAGCCCCATGACTTAAATTCCAGCTCACTCACCAGACACACTCAGACACAGAACCTGGGAAACAGCAGAGGAGAAGCAGAGAAAAAAAAAAAAAGGGCAGCAAAAAACCAAGCTAAAAAGGAATTGCTTTTTCTAGCTTTAAGCAAAATGTGCAGTCATTTCAATTCCACTTAAGGAGAAGTGATATTTTGCTTGGCTGTTTCACAGATACCTTTCATTGGTTTGATCTTGTACTTCCATCCTGCCCTGCATTGCTCTTGATTAATAGATTCTATTTAGAAGAATAGATTCTATTCTATCTAGATTTATAAACTATAAAGAAAATGGTTCACCTGAGCAGTAAGTTATATACTTTGGATTTCATTCAAGTTAAGAGCTTTTCAGGTTACATAATTATGTCTTTCCTCTCCTTACAGTAACATTCCCTGATCTGGGGGGATTCTTGACTGTGTGTCCTCCACTAGCCCCAAATTAAAAAAAATAGAGCTGTGCAGAAGGGCCTAGATAGGGCAAACTCAATCCTGTATTTTTGTATGCATGACTGTGTCTATGACAGAAAAATAAATTGCAACAGGAATCTGCCAGGGCTTAAGTTAGAAATGTAGGTCCTATTTTCTTTTAAAATGTTCACCCTGAAAGTACCTCTAGAAATAATTTTCATTTTTACTGCTTTTGACAGCTGTGTGGAAAGGAATTTAACAGAATGCACAATTTAATGGGACACATGCACTTGCACTCAGACAGTAAGCCTTTCAAGTGCCTCTACTGCCCCAGCAAGTTCACCCTGAAGGGGAACCTAACGAGGCACATGAAGGTCAAACATGGAGTCATGGAAAGAGGATTTCATTCACAAGGTAAAATTTATCAGTAATGTTCTCTGAGAGGTTTTAAGATGTGCATCAGTACCACCCTAAAGGGCTTTGTACCGCAGATCTAGGATCTTGTGCCACAGACCCAGTGATACTGGAAGAGACTGAATCTTGTAAGCCTGAGAGCTTCTTATTCATTCCCTGATTACTCTAGTGCTATAGATGAGAGACCCCCCCAAGGTACTGGCCCTTGCATCACAGACTGTTCAGGCTAGATAACTTATGGCACAGAAGGACAGACCAGAGTGAGTAGTAGATGAAAACAAAATGGTTGCAAATCCAGGAGCCTTTCTGCTTAAAATACATGCATTCTGTGCCATATTGACATAGCTGACTTTAAAGGAAGACCATGAGCTCAAGATCCAGCTAACAAGGAAGCAAACAAACTGGAAGAGACACTCCTCCTCATCTCAAACTATATGGATTTTTGATCCTTCAGAGTATCCTGCAAAGCATTTCCTATCTTCCATCCACCATATACACTTCCTGAAATTGGCCTCATGTGTGCACACATGCCAACACTATCTAAAGAAGTGGGGAAATTAGGGAGGATTGTTTGGAGAGTTTGAGTATCCCAGATATTTTACTTGCTAAGACTTTCTGGATATATTTATCTGCTTGAAAGAGTGAAGAACATTATTTCATGGTGTTCCTCAAAATCAGCCTTTAAGGCAGCCTAGCATGAGTGGAAACACCCCTAGTGACATTTGGGATAAAATTTACGTGGTTCCTAAAAGATAATAATATAAATGGCTTTTGTTTTTTTCCCTGTAAACCTCCTACAGACCATGCTAGTTACACAATTGCTTGTAACTGAAGACAGGTTGAGTGCTTTCCAGTGTACACAGATTCAGCCCCTGAGGCTGATCAGACATAGACAATTTGCAAAGGCTGCCACCTGCTCATAAGGCACTTTAACAAACACAACCTGTTGCAGTGGAGCAGCTGGGTCTAGTGAGGCTGCATAAATCCTGCAGAAATTGGATCCAAATATGGAGGGGAAAAAAAAAAAAAAACCCAACTACTATAGTGGCCCTAATAGATTTTTGCTATTAGATGATACTGTCACTGCCTCACTTAGTGCCATTACACTTTTAATTAAGATGAACTGAACTTGCCGTGTCTGAATCTTCCTCTGTGCATCCTGATAGCTGGGGAATATCTGAGCCTATGGATGCTTCCTGGGTTTCCAGCAAGGAGAAGAGAAACAGAGAGTAATATTAAGACGAACAGGTCCATCATTTGATTTTAATGATTTCCTCAAGATGTAGAGCTAGCTAGTGCATAGAGCTTTGTGATGGCACCATATAAGAGAGCAAAAATCAGGGAGTGTGTAGGTCATAGACCCATCAGACATGATTGCATGTTCACTTTTTATGTAGTAACTTTGTCCTGGAGTGTCCACAGAACAAACATGTTAACATGTTTAATCTGTTCCACTCCTCTAGAAAAAAAAGTGGACAAACCCAGGACTTTGATTATGGTATGTGACGATTTAGATCAAAGTGTTGATTTAAAAAAAAATAGGAAACAGGAGGAAGTGGGTTGGTTCCCTGTCAAAAAATAGTTTGCAAGAGGCCAGGACACTTCGCTTTTATTCCTAGCTCTCTCATCGAGTGTCTAGCATGTACAAGACAATGTTTTGTTCCTGACCTGTCTATAAAGTGGATACAATAGCACTCCTTTTAAGAGCATTTCAAAGGAGATGCCATAATCTGTAAACATTGAAGTGCTTGGAAATAGCTGGGTGGAAGACAAAGGTAATAGAAGTGAATAGAAGGTCATCTCACTTTTTATTTTTTTAACCATACGTTATGTAGTCAAATGTGCTATATATAAATTTTACCTTTTCTCCCTGCTTAAACCACTACAAGGTTTTGGAAGAGGAAGAATTGCTCTGTCCCAGACAAATGTCTTAAGAAGTTTGGAACAAGAAGAGCCCTTTGATCTTTCCCAGAAAAGCCAAGGGAAGGGAATCTTGTTTCATTTGGATAGCGAGAGTGCCAAGGGGAGCTTGTGCCAGGAGGAAGAGGAAGACAACTGCTACAAGGCAGAGCAGTACAGCCCAGGCAGGTACCGTCACGCCAGCAGCAAGCTCTACATGCCTCGCGATGGGCCTGGCAAACCGCAGTGCGCCGGCAAGGACATGAGGGAGCCCTACGGCACTGAGAGGGAGGAAATGCTGTGGGAAGGAGGACTCAAGAAGAGTGCTGGAGACTCAGACAAGCCAGAGGGCCAGGGAGAGAGAGACCTTGCAAACAGCAAAGAGCACCTCAGCTTTAGGTCCTTTGAAAAGGGCAGAGTTGACCATTCTCTCTTTGATTACTTGTATTTCAAGCACAGGAACAAAAGTTTGAAGGAATTACTGGAAAGAAAAATGGTAAAACAAACAATGCTTATAGGCATTTAAATGGACAACATCTTAAATCAGCTGGCAAATGGAAAGCAGACAGCTTTTAGCATGATTTGTACTTTACCAGAGACTGGAAGTTGGTAGCAGTCTTTAGAGATGAACAAGCTAAATCAATAAAGATAATTTAAGGTAAAATGTGCACATTCAAGAACTAAAGCAGGCCAAGGGCATCAAGAAAGGCAATAGGTATGGAACAAAAACATTTTGTACTTACTCATTTTATATATAAGGAGGGTTTACTTTCCTTTATCTGGGGTGGTAGAGACTTGTAAGTTTTCTAGTTATCAAAAAAGCAACATACTTCAGCATTTGATTTATTATCTGACTAAATATATATATAAGAACACTTCTAACCATGGGTCTCAGAAAAATCTGAACACTGACTGAACACAGTCACTCTCTGAAGTAACAAAATTCAAATATTTTGTTTATCGAAATGACTGTGTTAGTTCAACCACCTGCAATGAGAAATAGGGAAAAATTAAGAGGAAATGACAATGTCTTGTGAGTTAGCAAAGTGCTAAAAGTAAGGTTTTAAAAGGACTGGAATTGGTTACGGCCACAGAAGCTCTTCCTCTGGCATAAGGGATGTTCATGTTTTGCTACATTTCTATCAGTATGAGAGTATTCAACAATTCCTCAAGTGAAACAATGGACTGTGTTGACATTTTGTTCTACGGTCTGCTCAGACCAATACATTTAATGAGCAGCAGCAGCGCATTTGCAAGTCTTCCTGTAATTGCATGTAAAGCAACGAGAGTCATTTCATTGAGAAAATGATATAATTTTGCCATTTATCTCTTCAATTTATCTTGGCTATCAAAGATGATTTTAAATTCCACAGTCTGATTAAATTTTATCTTAGAAGGGACACCAGAAAAGAGCCCTCGCAAGGCAAGCAGCACCTCACAGAGAAAATCACCCTTTAGCTTTTCTCTTATCAGTCACAGATTTTCCCTTATTAACACAGTTTGACTAGTAAGGGTTAGGCCTTTCAGAAAAATAATTACAGTAAAAAAGAGTTCTACCAATGCTGTTTTCTCTGCTTTTTATCCTCTGGTTCACATACAGGCACATATTTGTGCTTGCAGTATAAGTAGCTAAAAGCACTCTTCGTTAAGCACATCCCATTAACTGCATGGATTGTTTGACCAGGGCCTTGTTTCCTGCATCTTCAAAATATATGACAAACAGCCCCAAGCCATTCTGCTGCCTCAGAAGGAAATCAAGATTTAAAGGTATTTTAAATATTCCTATGTCATTTTGATATTCCAGCTCCATAGGTTAAACCCCATAAATATGGTACATCACTTACAAATGTTACTACCTTCTTTATTTACCTGTCAAGAGTTTGATTTAAAATACGTTATCATGCTCAATATATAACAAGCTTTTACCAAATATAAAGTCATATAGTTATGGCTTTTTTTGGCTAAAGCTGCAGCTGCAGCTCCCTGCCATTATAAGAAACCTCTCACTTTACAGCAGTAATAATTCTCATATCTACCAGTGAATCAGCATCCATAGGACAACACTCCTTACTCATCACGTAAAACCACATTTGTGCAGTTTGAGATTGCAGAAGGGATTTCACTTTTTCAGGGCTCAAACCTAGCACATACATAATAGGTAAGAAAGATTCTCAATGAAGAGCAGAAAAAAACATTGATATAAGAAGCTTAAACGTATGCATCATTCTTCTAAACATAATTTACCCCACAGCTGGCATATGTACTTTACAACAAAGAGGGCATACCAAGTTGTGGCGGAATGCAGGCCACTGGGACTGAAGTGAATGATGTCTCTCGACACGAGGTGTATTTCAGAGGTTCATAGACTGTGTGTTTTCAGTGATGGACTATTTTATCATGTACATATAATCTATCCCTTGCTTCCACTGCAAGGCATCTCCATTTAGAAAAGGAGCCATTTTTTAAGAAAGACAATGTGGTCAAGTAGAAGAGTCAGAAAACTTTGAAGAGTAATGTGTACAACTCTATTCTTTCTCAGAGGGGAAAAGAATTGCATTGCAAAGCCTTGTCTGCAAATTTGAGAGTTATGGGAGAGATAGGCAGTTTTTATCAAGACAGACAAATTGTTATGTATCAAAGCATTCCAGATAAAAAGAGCAGTCTTCTGCAACAAAGGAGAGATTTTCAGCAGAGCTCAGCTCCCATTTGATACCCAAACTCCTGAGCAGAGCTTTCAGAAATGCTCAGTGCAGTTGAATATCTGCCTCTGCTTGAGAGTACTATACACCTGAGGTCCTGGTCTTGAGTTCTGGGGAAAATCTGTCTGCAGCAGATAGCATCAAACCCACCAAGGCAAGGTCTGCTAACAGTATGCAGGAGCATCACTGCCTCTCCAGCACTCCCCTGCAGACCATGTAAGGGCAAATGTCAGAGGTGTCATCAGGAAATGAAATCACCACAGACAAATCCGTCTGTCTGAGTGGTTAACCAAGACACTTTCAACCACACCTTCACTGCAGCAAGTTACCCATTTGCACAGTTCCACTTCTCATTGCAGCAAAAACAATAACGAGCCACAGAGTCAGGTAAAAAGGAGTAAATGTCCCCAGAACAGCAATGCTCATTGTCCTTAATTCCTAATGTAACTCCCTTTCCTTGAATCTCTCCTAGAAAACAGAGAATATCCCATTACAATGAGGCTGTGTATGCAACCATGTCTCACTAAGCTAATTTATCCATAACAAAGGTAATTCATCCTAGGGCAGTAAAGAACACATCTCAAAGTCACCGTTAAGTCACCAGTCAGAACTGCAAACAAAACTATTACTGAGAAAAAGAGCAAGTATCAAGTGACTCCAGCAAAGGGATTAGGAGAATGATAGTCTCGCTACTGCAAAACATAGTATAGCTGGGTCCAAGAGATGTGTTACACAGAGGACCCAAGGGACAAATTAAACATGAAACAATAGTCTTCATTGTGAAGCCCCTTGCTTTTCAAACAGAAGTCATATTCACACTATTTACATTGGCACTGCTTTGGGAACAGACAGTAACAGCCTTTGCTTTTTAATAGCTTTGAAAATGCTTTATAGAAATTTGTTCTCTTACCTAAGTTATTTATCATTTCCAATTTTCAAGGGATCAGCTTCTTTATTTTGCTTTGAGCAGAGGCCCAGAAGCCCTATAGAGATACTGCCCATGTCCTGTGTTGTAGGTAATCCCAGAACAAGATATGATTTGAGTTTGACCAGGACTCAGCCATCTCCTCGTGAACTGGAGTTCTCCCGCCTGCTAGGCAGCTTCCACTCTGTGACAGCAAATATAGGTGCTATGTGCTTACCAATTCAAAGGATAAAATTGTTTATGATAATATTGTAGCAGAGGTTCATTGTGTGCTGTGTTCTATTTGCTATGCTCTTAGAAGGTTATTTATCAGAAAGTAGCGCTGCCGTACTCCTCTTTTTATAATTCCTTGTTGGTCTAGAGGCTACTCTCTCATTTTTCTCTTCATAAGGTGCTGCTGGACTCTGCTGTGTACAGTTAAGAAGTAATATAAGTACTATATTTATTATTCCAAGAAGTATTTAATAATTATTAACAGTTTGAAAATAAGCCTTGTCTGCTTAGCTGAACAAGATGTAACAGAGCTAACATTTTGTACTCCTAACAGATTTTGCAAATGAAGTTGTATATATTTATTTCACACAGAACAGGGGTTTCCTATTTAAAACTCCAATTCAAAAAGTGGACCAGCCTATCTGTGAATATTTGGTTTCTAGCTTTATATCTCAGCAGTGAAAGCAGTTCTCCTGAAACTAGCATACACGATGTATTGTATTAATTTAAACAAATAAACATATACTAGAAATGTTCCTTTACTTTGTATGGAAATGGATCAGGAGTTCTCGACACCATAACTATTTTACATAATGAATACGTGGAGTTGGTATGACAAGGTCATACCAACCACTAGCACCACTAAAGAGTAGCTCTGGTAAAGAGAAGTCTAAAAGGGTGGCAGAAGACTACATAGGAGACAAGGGTAAGGGGCTGCCAGGTTCTCTGAGGTGGAGACACTGCAGAGAAGAGATAAGAAATGCTCTGGAATTACTATGGCATTTGTTAATATAGCCTCAACCAAGCAAAAAATGAAAGATGTAATTTTTATCCTGAATAATTTTCATAGATCTGCACCCTGTAAAAAAAATAAGATGTTTTATAAAATTGAAGTTAGGAATTTAGGGATGCCTTTGCAATTTCAGATTCTAAATAAGTGGAAGACTCTGAACTCAGATGGTCAAAGTTTCTTTTTTTCTAATGGAGAGCATCACTTTTAAGTGACAAGTTTTAAGTGACAGTTTAAGTGACAAGTAGATTGTCGATTTGTTTGTTTTAATAAGACCCTGGTGGAACTGGCATACTCAAGCTTCACAGGGCCCATTTTAAGTTGCTTTTGAACACAGAGGGAAAGTGTCTGGAATACTGACTATAAAATATTTCAAGTAATAAATAAAGTTATTTTGTTTATAATACTCATCTGTACCTCTAGTGCTAGAAGGCTTATATGTACAAATACTAGAAATGCAGGTAAGAGACTGAACAAAACTGTAGACCTTTTCTGCAGGTAGTAACCATTATGAACATTATAAATTAATTCTACATGAGGAGGAAGATACACTTCTTTAGCTGGGGAGTGACCTAATTCATTCCCATGTGACTCAGTATCAGTGACCCCCAACATTTCCTCTTGGCTCATTGCAACAATATATATTGGGAAAAAAAAAAAAACGTGTGTTGACTTTTCACAATTTTCCATTTTTGTTGAAAACTGGACTGTGCTCACTTAAGTCTTCAAACAAACAGAAAGGCAGT